ACTATAACTATAACTATATAACTAACTGCACCATGAAGGCGTATGGAGGAGTGGGTGTATAAATCCAGAACGCCTCTGTGGTCTAGTGGTCAGAGTTCCTGACTACAGATCGAGAGGTCCCGGGTCCCCGCAAACAAACAGGTTCTCGCGGCAAAAGTCAAAGCGCAACACTAGGGGTGGGTTGGAAACGGTGTTTTCTACGGTGGTCCGTGCCGAGGGGTTATGAGAAGAGAATTAGAGCAAGAATTGAGCAGAGTATTACCTCGTGTGGAGGCGGGGTCGAATACCTCCACCGTGACCCTGCGAGTCGTAGGAGGCGACGAAAAGGGAAGTCTCAAATCTAAGACAGTAAAATATGGTCCCGAGTCCCAAGGGATTCGGACCCGAATAAAACTGAGCTGGTAAGGGCCAGTAGCATATACAAAAGACAGACCCGTCCTCTCGTCAGAGAGGGCGCCCCACAGAAACAAGTCCATAACTGTCAAACGATAATAATTAATATCTGGTCATGAGCTCCAAATGGGGCTCGACACCAAGACTTGCTGACTGAGTGACCGTCAGTTGCAATGTGTCTTTGACTTTGTCTTTGAAGATTTGAGCAATTGGAAAGGAGTCGCCAATCAGAGAGGACGCGTACGGAAGCAGAGGAATAGTCGTTGTTAACAGCCGTTCCCAGGAATTGTGTGACGAAGACTAGGAAGACTTTATGTGTCCTGTGATTACAGTGATATTCAGAATGTGTAATTAAATGAGAATGTTATAATTACTTGGAGTCACGGATCTGTAAGGGTTTTTTTTTTTCCCCCTTGGCACTACAGTCCCAGTGGGCCTAGGCCTACCTCCATGAACTTCTCCGTTCACTTCGGTTTTTCTAGATCTTACACGTTCGGTTTGACTCCTTGGGCGGGTGGTCAGCTCGTCGCAAAGCCTCTACCTGTACACAAACACAGAAACACGAGCATACACAAACTAAACATCCATGCCCTGAGTGGGATTCGAACCCACGATCCCGGTTTCCAAGCGAGCGAAGACAGTTCATGCCTTAGACCGCTCGGCTACCGTGACCGGCTCTGTAAGGGTTTAGTAAATACAATTATCCAAAATCCCTTCCAGGGTCCCTCATACACGTGACAATATAATAAATTACAGTAGGTCCTGTAACTGTATTAAGCCTTTGATGCATATCGAAAAATATGTAGGCCCAGAAACCCGTTTAGATATTAACATAATACATTTTTCCTCATAGACTGCTCATATATTTTGCTTGATCCTCAAAATAAATAGCGATTACTTCCTAATGAGAATTGCTTAATTAACTTCCTTAATGAAGTAGCGAAGTGTTTATTGTGAGGTAGAAACTGACTTTCGAAGTATTATTTACGTGTACTTCATGTTTCAAAGGACTAAATATTGTGAGAAATTTCATCTGCATATTCTATAACATTGCCATATCCTTGGTCAGAGCTGTACAAACCCCAATGCGTCCGCAGCCTAAGCCATTCTTAAGAAACTAATGTGGGTTCAGTAAAAAAATTCCTTGCTTTTTATTGAATCAACTTACGTACAATTCCTTTATGATACATTGCGGCATTTGCATAGTTCTGCCAGGTAATTTGGTTCAGGATCAAGATTTGTNCAATTAACCGTCTCTACGGCCTATTCAGTAACGTAAACACGTTACAGTATTTATAGCCTTCTCATACGTGCTGTATGCTCCGCCTGTCTAATCCCCCGAGGTTTGGTCACCCCGGAAATATTTACATTGTTTAGGTTTTACACAGAATCATTCCATATACGGAGCGTTGCCTAACATTCCGTAACAAGTTGGGAGATTTTACGTTGAGGATTTTGCAACCCTACGCCCAGTTCCCAAGTTGGAAGAATTCCTGTTATCGGCTACCTGCGACTGCATACTCCAAATATTCACAGCTACCCTGCATATCTGCATGCCGTCAGTCAGTTTCACCAAGCGATGCTACCAAATTCTCAATGTTCTCTTTGTAATACAAACTCCGTGATTTCAGTCCGCAAACGAACCATACCGACCGAGCGACCGTCGCTTGTCGGCGAAGTTTAGTGCCAAATTTTGCGGATAGATGGTGTCGCGTGGTCAGCGCAAAGAATCCCTACGGCCATTAATTTCGGTTTTCTAGACCGGAGCCGCCATTTCCTTGATTATCATCATGAGGCTGAGTGGACCCCGTTCAGACCACTACTTCTCGGAAAAAATGTGATAGCGCCGGGAATCGAACCCGGACTTCTGGATCTGTAGCCAGGAACGCAAATTCTCAAGTTTCTGCTCCATGTTCAGATTAGTGCCCCGTGTGAAACATTTCGTAGTTCGTCAGTGAATCGTATGTTTCTATTAGGCGAAAATATGAGACTTATAAATATTATTATTTTTTTTAAATTAGCATAGTTGGGGGTGGAGTCCGACTGGGTCCACTCGGCACGGCGGCCACTTATTCGCCTATTGTACGTGCCCCGGGTGATTATGATGGAGAATTTGGCGGAATAAAGATTGGCAGGGGAACCGAAGTACTCGGAGAAAACTTGCCCCAGCGCCACTTTGTCCACCACAAATCCCACTTGACCAGACGCGAGCTCGAACCCGGATCGCCGCGGTGGGAAGCCAGCGACTAACCGCTTGACCTATGGCGCGGCCTATAAGTTTGTTGAGTGGGTACCATCCGGCTGCTGATGTTGGGGACAATGTACAGATGTATAAAGCAAATGCAAACAGCTAGTTTGAAGCTCTAGGAGAACGCGAACATCCCCCATAGAAAACATGCGTGTTAGAAAATATTTTTAGTTGTTAAACTTTGCATATCGAGGAACTTGTAAGATGCACTTTTCACAAAACATTATTAGGAAACTGAAAAGTGTGAGATTGGCAGGGGATTTAGCAAATATGGAAGGGATCATAAATGTGTACGAGCATATCTCTTTCAGAAAAATTTCATGGAAATGACAAATTTGAATACTTAAATGTGTGTATAACGACAATATTAAAGTGGATCTTAAAAGTATGTTGTCGGAGGCTGTCTGCTTGATTAATATATCTCAGAATAGGAATAAATGGCGTGCTGTTTTGAGAACAATAAGGAAACTTTGGACAGCATAAAATGAGAAGAATTGTCTTGATTCGGTTAGTGACTGCCAGCTTCTCAAGAAGGACTCTGCTTTATGGGATGAGTTGTTGATTGACTACTTTATTATAAATACGAGTTTAATGTAAAACTGGGTTCAGCTTATTCAATTAAATCAAAATGGTCTCACTTAATGACGTTGTTATTCACTTATTATCATACAGTGTGTAGGATCAGAATGCCTAAAATTAAAACTAGGCCGTGTTTGCTGGAGTGCCTCCTCTGAGGTACTCCAAGTGAACATTTGAAATAGAGTAATTTCTCGCAGGAGTATTATTTAACTCATTCTTAAATGATTTTCCACAACTAAGTTTTATGCCTCCGTTCAATTACAGCTGTACAGAGGAACTGTGGATCTCCTAATTAACCCGATAGATTAGTTACTCGTACATTTCGGTGCTTGTGCGGCGGGTGGGGAGGCAGTTGCAGAAAGCACTCTCTCTCTCTTCCCTGGGATTTTCTGTCCGTATGTAACAACCAGAAAAATGCTGAATAGATTTTTTTTTAAATTTCATTTTTGGAATTTTTACCAAATTGTGTCTACACTTTTCAGTTTGACAAGAATAACAGACACTCTACATGGCAGTCTACATTTGCCTTGATAGTGACTCTCGGGAATTACATTTTTAACAAACATTGCAGAGAAAATTAAACACATACTTATTTTCAGTTCACTTTTTACTTAAGCCTGACTGTTTTCCACATAATTTTACAAAAGTAGTGTTTATGCGATGTCACCTCGTAAGTTGGGGCACGCGGTACCCCAGTTGGTTGAGGCACCATGCTACAAGCCGGAAGTGACGGTTTCGGTTTCCGATTAAGCCATTGGATTTTTCAATAAACTTGATCCTTCCAACCGCACTATAGCCCTTGGGTCGAATCAGTCCTTAACAGAAATGAGTACCAGAAATATTCCTGGGGTAAAGAGCGGTCGGCCGGAGTGTATGGCTGACAAACTTACCGCCATCTGTGAGCCGATTGTCTAGAAAATATGGGAGCCTCGACGACTCACAACCCTAGGAGCCTACACGGCATGGTACAGGGATAGTTTACCTTTTACCTTACCTCGTATAAAATCCGGCCCTCGCACTGCGAACTTCAATGGTCTGTTGTACTTCCTCTTTGGATTAACCTTTTATTAATCCTACACTTCGAATGAAATGTAGGACTTTATTTATTGGGGGCGTCATAAAAGTCACTTGGTTCCATGAAGAACTGACCCGTGTGACGAAATCTTAAATAAGCTGTGGCCTCACAATCACATAAGTTGTGTGTGGCTGATTCGTCCTCTTGTAGGTACCTTTCGCAAGCGGGGCCAACTCTCAGTCCCACTTTACCTTACCCCGTAACTTCAGAACCTGAAGGCATCAACGGAGCGAACGCTCCACAATTGTCATGCCGTGTTAACGTAATCTTAAGTACTTCGGAGGGCACTGTCATATTTTGCTATAGAACAGAGGCTCATTAGTCCTTTCTTTATTTCATGCAGATGTCCAGACAATGTCTGGAAAAGCATTGCAAGATGGGAAGGAGGTAAGTGTATATAAATTCATGTTATGAAGAAGAACTGGCATAAGTTTCTGTTCTGGGTCCGTTCGCAAAACTCCCCTGCAATGACAGTATTTTGACTGATTGTGTTCTTGGTTTTTCTCAGTTGCCCTAGTCGAACACCATGATTTTGTCGTAGAATATGTCACCACCTCAACCATCTACATATCACAATTCATGATGAACTTCCCTCCTTGTTCACCGTTTTCGGCGTCTAAAAGAGTTCAGACACTTTCCGATGAAGAAGGAAAGGCTGTTGTGTTCTAGCTGGCATAGGTAGTCATTTATCATTAATGCGAATTATTATTTATGCAAATGAATTTATTTGAAAGTAACTACATTTTTAACCGTGATTATTGTCTTTAATATTGTGAAATATGTTTGAAACTGTGAATCATATTCCATTTGCTGCAGTTCGCAGTATTTCCCACATTTCCCACAGTATTCTTCACTGGCTTCTCACCTTTAATTGGTCCCGGAATCTGTTACAGGTTTCAGCTGGAAAGCATAAAAGTGTAGGTAAATTGACATGTTCCTAGCACCAAGATTAGTGACTGCAGCAAAGACTCGCTAACTTTCCCTCATAGCAAGTTTATCCTCTGAAATATTACAAACATTATCTTTTAAAAATAGAATAATTTAGATACATTAATAAGATAGTGACATGCGCAGTGGCATTTTTACTCAAACCTAACTTTAAATAACACAAAATATTTTTAAAACTTGTACAATATTACACTGTTTCAAAGTAATATCATATTCTCCTGCAGGAGGCGGGATGGCTCAGCCGGCATAGCGAAGGGCTAGAGACTGGACGACCGGGATTCGAATCCCCGTAGAGCAAGGTTTTGCCCTTCCCTACATCGTTCAAGTCCTCTAGGGCCCACGCAGCCTCCTATCTAATGGTTACAGGGGGCAGTTTCTTCGGAAGCAAAGCGGCCGTTGCTTGAAGCTGGCCACTCGCCTACATCCAATACCGAGATAAATAATGGTGGAGCTATACCTCCACTCCCAAATAAGTCTTAGTGGCATATTGTTTAATTATTTAAGCAGAGGGACATCTAGCACTTGAAGTTGTGAACAAATGAATCGAAGGCCATAGCTTTACATTCTGTAGCAGTCTACGTAAAATATTACCGTGTTGCATCTTAAGAAGTTAAGTCAGTGGCTTTTTGAAACAGAGACCCGGAATCTGTCCATGGAGCTTCTCATGGGCTAAGTGGTGCCTCCGTAACGCCTTCTCGTAGTTCTCTCACGTCAACGCAGTCAGCGATCTGTTAAAACTCATACCTGATTGATAGTGGGCAACAGATCCCACTTCGCAGAATACTTGTACTTGTATGCACTTTGCCTCCAGTACCTAGACTTACTTACTTACTCATGGAGCTGAACCCTTCTTGAGGGGCCGCAAATTCTGCAGCTACTCAAGAATTTCCCAGCATTTTATGGAACCTGAAGGTTCATTACCGTGTTCACAAGAGCCCTTCACTGGTCCCTATCCTGGGTCAGATCAATCCAATCCATACCATCCCATCCTATCTCTCTAAGATCCATTTTAATATTGTCCACCAACCTACGCCTTGGTCTTTCTAGTGGTCTGTTTCCTTCTGGCTTTTCACCAATATCCTATACGCATTCCTCTTCTTCCCCGTTCGTGCTACATGCCCTGCCCTTGACTTGATCATTCTAATTATACTTGGAGAAGAGTACAAGTTATGAAGCTCCTCCTTATGCAGTTTTCTCCAACCTCCTGTCACTTCATCTCTCTTCGGTCCCATTACCTAGACTCGTTGGTAAATTTTGTTGACGAAAAAGATTGATGTTTGTTGTGAGAAACGTATGAAAAACACAAATATTCATACACTGTTTGGGCAAGTTGCAGGACACATTTAATACTCGTATTAATGGTTCATATAGTAGCCACCGCAATTTAAAGGGTTGATCTGCTTATCACGTACGTGTGCAGCCGGTTCATTACCTTCTCCAATATTCAGAAACTTTACTTTTATTTTTCAGAATATTTTGATGTATTTGTCCCTGTGCTTAACTAATTAAGCACTACGCCATGAAGGCGTATGCGAGAGTGGATTATTAGGTCCACGTTTTCTTGACCTCGGCACTAGCTGGAGGTGAATGGTCATCTTCACGCCCTTGCTGCTTTACCCCCAGGGAAAGAGCCCCCAGTACCCATTGTATAGGAAGCTGGGTAAACCCCAAAGCCAGTCTGAAAGACATGGGGAAGAGAAAATTCTTGATCCTATTGGGACTCGAAGTCTGACCCCTCGGTCGCACAGCCAGTAGCCTGTCACTATACCGACTGCGCTATCCCGGCTCCTTTGCTGTTTTATGGAATTATGAAAATTAAGAACCATTACTTCCTTAAAACAGCTTTAAAAAGAGTTCTCTATTTCCTGGGATGTAGCGCTGACTAATCAATTGAAAGTGAAGGCACATTTCGGAGGAATATATTGCCTCCATCTTCAGGGTTGAGTAACCCGTGCAAGAAACCAGCATGACGAAGACAGGATTGCTCTTCATTCCTGAGGAAGCCGACATGTTCCTCCGGAACGGCTGTTGACTTTTAACGGAATACACGGCGTAATATCCCAGAAGATAGAACTCCTCATAGTCACCGGTGTGAGGACCTCAGATCCTACATAGCATTAAACATTTCGTCTTTCAGATGGAGACGTAAAGCAAGGCGTTTTCTCCGTTGCAGAACCCTAAACTAACTTAAGCTTCTAGAAGGATTACAGGAATGAGGGAGAAAGGGAATGCTTATGGTATATTGGTGGGAAAGCCAGAAGGAAAGAGACCACTAGGAATACCAAGATAGACGGATATTATTAAAATGGGTCTTAGTGGAATAGGATAAACTTGGCTCCAGACAGGGACTAATGGAGGGCTCTTGTGAACACGGTATTAACCTTCGGGTTCCGTTAGGTGTTGGGAAGTTTCCGAGGAGCTGCACGATAGCGACTTCTCAAGAAGGGCTCAGCTGTATAAAATTAGTTAGTTGGATTGTACATGGAGAGAATCACTCATATAGTTTTCAGTGTCTGAAGAAAGCCATTTTTATGCGGTTAGTACTCTTAGGCTATTTAGATGTGAAGTAGAAAATTTTTTAATTTTATGGTAAATTAGCGCTTGTATATTATTACTAAAATAAGTCACTATTATAATATTTCAAGTATTAGTAAATTCGATAATATCAGAAAGATATGAAAACTGTAATACTTACATTTAACTTGGTGTTCCGTCGGACAGTTCTGCAATGTAAAAGTGATATGTAAGCATTGCAAAGGAAATTAAAGCATTTATTGTTGTAAATATTAAGGAAATGTAATTGTATGAAATATCATTATGGAGTTTTCTCCTTCTTTTTCTTGATATCGTTATTTCATTTAGGTCCAGGATAGGCCGCGCCATAGCTCAAGCGGTTAGTCGCTGGCTTCCCACCGCGGCGGCCCGGGTTCGACCCCGGGTCTTGTCAAGTGAGATTTGTGGTGGACAAAGTGGCGCTGGGGCAGGTTTTCTCCGAGTACTTCGGTTTCCCCTGCCAATCTCCATTCCACCAATTGCTCCACAATCACCCTCACCTATCATCTGGGGCTGGTGCAATCGGCCAGAAGTAGCCGCAGTACAAGGGACTTAGTCCCACCCAACTAGCAATAGGTCCAGGATTCTGTGATGTACAATTATAGTAGTTAGTTTTATAATATAATGTAGTGTTACTTACAAAGATCGTCACATTATATGCACACTTCAAGAAATTAAATCCTGCTGTGTTACACAAGTAGGTTCCTTCGGGTGCGTCACCATTTCCTGTAACATGTGCATACAAATTACAGTAAAGTAACTCTGAAAGTGGCTGCAGTATCTTTCTTCGGGACGTTATCCATCTATAGGAATAAAAGATGTCCTGACCCAGAAGGCAACAAAACAAACAAAAATCCGTGATTTTAGGCCGCAAGCGAACTACACCGACCGAGCGACCTCTGCTTGTCGGCGAAGTTTAATGCCAACTTTTGCGGATAGAGGGTGTCGCGTGGTCAGCGCAAGGAATCCCCACGGCCGTTAATTTCGGTTTTCTGACCGCACCCAGAAGACAACAATAATAAAATAAATTTAATTGGGTCTGTACAGCAGTATGATTCTCAATTAAACTGCTTTGATATAAATGTTGATTGAATTTAGGATCATCTGGAATATGATGCCACAGTGTTTCCCAGAACTCTTTAGCCTAAGGGTCCTTTGATATTAATGAAAATGTTTGAGGCCCCCAATGTATAAAAATGTCTGAAACGCACTTTACAAATCTAAGCATATAATTACCAGAAAATCTTGATTTTATCTATTAAGTAGTTACTATAGGATTCTGACGATGGTGTATAACACATTGATATATTGGGTTTTTGGACTTTATCCATCGTCCTGGTTTTTAAGATAACAAATAAAAACACGTAAAGGTGAAGGATTCCTTCACCTGAGGATGGAAACAGATCCAGTTTCCGAAACGTCGTGTTTTTATTTATGTTAAAAACCAGGACGATGGATAAAGTCCAAAAACCCAATATATCAATTAGCTATTAAGTACCTTATTATCCCTTGTGTCACTTGACTTGGGAGTTTCCTGTCAATTTGCCCATAATAATAAGACCCTTGGCATTTATGGCGATCCATGGAAAACTTTCATAGCTTCCTGGGGGCCACGGCTCCCACTTGGGGGCTCGATGGTTTAGTAGACCGCCACAAAAGTTTAAGAGCAGCGTACAATCTCTGTCATTAGCGTAAAAACGTTCCTTCGGTGAGGTGGGCTCTGTGTGCTGGACTGCATGTCGTAAAGTCCCATGAAGCTATAGTCTTCATACCACCACATCACCAGAGCTCACATAATTACTGATAAATGCGGCACACAATATCCATATAAGGTTGAATTTAAGTAAAAAAATTATTTCATATTTTCCACTATATATTGTTATGGTGATTCAGCCCATCAACTACACACATAAAATCGGCCCTGTTGTTTACAAATTATTAATTTTACAAATATCCACTGCTTTTAGGATTTTTGGATTTCATAGCAATGGGTATGGGGTGTTTCAGCTTCTGGAACATAACGCTGCCTACTTCCTTCCCGCTTTATTCAGTTTTATGGCTTTGCTTATTCTTCATTCCTAAACATGGAGGCAAAATGTCACACCGAAGTGTCTGTCGACTTCCAAAATATTGCGCGGCGTTACATTCTGGAAGACAGAACTCTTCATTTTGTGCTTGTTTACAAATTCATATTTACAAAATACAATACTGTAACGGATTTGATCAACGCATTGCCAGGCAACAGTTCTGTAAACACGGTCCAACAAGCAACAACAGAGGAAGCTGTGTTTTCTATAGATGCAACAGACGAACCAATAGACTGGCTGGATAGCGATCACGTGACATGTTTACTGTAGGCCCATGTCCGTTCCGCGGCTATGTAACGAGAGCCGTGAGCTTTAGTTCACAGCGAATTGGAACCAGGAGTACAGAACAGTACAAGAAGCCAGCCTGTGAGGATTTAACCTGTGAGTTGAAGGCTTGATATGTGATGTAGTTCAGTGGTATGGGGAGTGTGTGATTTAGGGAGACCTTTTTAGTTCCTGTGTTATAAACCCGTTGCCAGGGAACGGATAGTTAAAACTAGTGGAAATAGGCTGAGCAGATAATTGTAGAGTGATTGTAGATTCTTGAAATCAGCAATACTGTAATAATTAGTTGTAGTTATGACCTCTAGGTGGTTAATGAATCCAATTACCAATCCGAACCCCGTCTTTAGTCACTAATACACGTGACAATATAAATACCCTTAACATGGAGACAATAAACCTCTCTGACATGTCGATAAAATTTACGAAACTGTAGACGTCACATCCTCCAAGAACCTGGCCTTAAAAGCAAATTATTTTCTCTGCGATCTGTTGCTCTCTTTGCGTGAATATCAAGATTGCTATTTGGGATAATTTTGTAGGTACATACCAATGCATCACAGGAACCAGCCCCCTCCAACTTACTGAGTGCCGGCTTGTATGCTTACCAGTCTACCAGCTGAGTGGCTGTTTTGTCACAATCTTTGGGTAAGACAGGTAAAATACCGTTCTAAACCCTGAAGATGGAGACACCAGCTTGGTAATTCCAAACAGACAACACGACGTAATATTCTAGAGACCGTAGTCATAATTTCATTTTCTGTTTTCTGAAATCATTAGTTAATAGAGTTGTACAGAGTGAACCTAAATTATTGTCAGGCTTTCCGTTTATAGGCCACGGAAAATCCGACAATAATTTAGAATCATTCTGTGTTATAATATGGTGACATCATCAGTACTACAACATCGCTAGTCACTGCATCTCTTTAGGTGCAATATTATGGCGGCAAAGGAAACAAGACTTTCCTCTTACAACTTTTATTTTGGATAATTAAAATGTCTCGTAACTTATTTTTCGTACGTCATGCCAGTGTATCAAGAATATAATACATATTCAGCCTGGTTGAATTCAGTCGTTAATCATTGAAGAATAGCTTACCTTCAGTGGACTGTCCACAAGTGGTCGATATCTTGTCAATTGTGCTTGGATCCTTAATCCCACTGAACTTTAACACAGATTCAGTAACTGATTTCATATTTATCCGTCCGGCGTCGTCAATCTGCATTGTAATACAAATATTAGGAGACATACAGACATAAAGGTAGTCCAATTTGGACATATCTCCTATCTGGATCCCCCTTAACAGCAATGAAGTTTCTGACTCACAGAGATCTGTATGACGTGACAGATTCCATTAGGTTTCAGTCTCGAGTGTTCAGGTTTTACTCCACAGATGGTGCTAGTGGTAGATACTATGTACATATTCCTTAATTTTCTCCCCAGTTCTTTGCATTAGTGCTCGTGCACTTGGTTTTGTTCGCTAGGTTTGTAGCACAAATTATACCTCCTTTTCTAATCCTAGCTCCACTCATGTGCGTACTCTATCAAAATATTTATTGTATATTTTCTTGATATCTCCCGCGGAATTAGACTGATCTGATGCGATTAAATATCTGTGTAAAGCTGACGTGTTTTACAGTGATTGAGATTAGCGCTCTCTGAGGGCTCCAACTGAGTAGGTGTCTTCGTCCGTCACCTGAGGACGGAAACAGATCAAGTTTCCGAAACGTGGTATTTTCTATTTTTCTAGGGTACCGGGCAATGGGAAAAGTCCCAAAACCCAGTAATTCTGTGTGTATGTAGAAATACAAGTTATCACTGTATTTTAAAATGAGGTTGTCAGTGGCCATGGCAAGTGGTATTCTAGCTAGGACTACGGAGCCGTTAGCTAATAAGCCGTTGTGACTGCATGCGAGAGTGTCCGGTAGAGGTCTCAACACTTACCCGGAATAGTTGTTGCCAACTTGGGCGTGAGCTGTAGTAGGATAATATGGAAGTCATCTTAAACTTCGGAGCTGTTTTTGCGCCCCTTATTGCAGTCATAACATTTGAATGAAGTCTTTAGCTATACCTGTTACAAATTACGCGATAAAACAGGCTTATGTTACGGTTTTACAGCCGGGTTATTGTTGCATACACATAAGAGTAGTTCGTGCTATCTATGACAAAAAGGTAAAAATTAAACCTATCCCTGCAGGAGGCCGTGAAGGCCCATAGGGCTGTGAGACGTGGAGGCTCCCACATATTCTAGATAATCGGCTCACAGATGGCGGTAAGGTTGTCAGCCGTACGCGCCGGCCGCCCTTTACTTCCCAGGAAGATTCCTGGTACTCATTTCTGTTAGAGGCTGACACCAGGGTCAGTGTGCGGCTGGAAGGAATATGCCAATTGAAAAATCCAATGACATCGGGAATCGAAACAACGACCTTCCGGCTTGTAGCATAGTGCCTCAACTAACTAAGCTACCGCGTACCCCCGAGGCCTATCTGTGGTCTATTTGGAATGTCTACGCAGTATATATAAACAAAATGTCGGGGAAGGCATTACTTTTCTTTTTGCAATTGCATTCATACAAGTGAATTGTTCACCCAGTACACACGATATCTCGGTTTATTGTAACGATAGTGATTTATTATGCATTTGACACAGTGGAATGTCTGTGTTTTGTGTATTACACTTTTTACTCTGCCTGCTGTCCACCTCTTTTTTTTTAACGTATATTTCATAGATTTTGCAAATGAAGTACATTTATAGTAGTAGTTAGTGGCTTGCTATGAATGGAAGCTCAAGAATTGTAAAACCAGTAGTTGGTCAGTAGTTTATGTTGTGCCCTGAAGAGGGAGATAATATAACACATAGAAAAGTACCTATCCAAATGTACCATCTCCTATGTCAGAAGACCACGATATAAATTGAATGGACATGTATTGAACTTCTAAATGATCAGTTTCTTGGCCACTGTTCTATTTTACTTCTTAGTATTGTTAATTAACATATTTTTAATTGTACTCACCTCATTCTTCTTGCGAAGGAGACACTCCACGTAACACTGAAAACATATATTGCTTTAATATAAATTAATATTTGTAAGTGCAACTTCATGCCTGTATAGTTCTACAAACTGCGAAGAATTCCTATTGTGCCGTTACGTCAGCAGAGAAGCCAGAGCTTAGATTAGTTACGAATAGCACCGGGAGATGGAATAAAACTGTTGCTACGTATATTAGTTTCGAGCTGGCAGGAGAAAATCACTGGTAATAGTTACGAATAGGAACAGACGGTGACGGCAATAAATGGTATAGAATGTCTATCTGAGTCGCTGATAATGCAGGTAACTGCAGTATTTTAGGATACATGTAGAATTTTTACATCTGATCATTAAGGGTGTTTCAGACGGGTGTATTGAGATCTATTGCCACTTGTGAGGTTAAAGACGTTCCACGGGTATAGAAATTCTTTTTTTACTGGGGTTTACACTGAATAATTTCCCATCGAAAATTTAACAGGCTTTGCATAAGTTAACTTATATAACACGAATACATTACGAAGGTTGTGATCTAAACAATGGATATGCAATAACTTTTTTTCTTGTCATTGGGATAGCGTAAGACATTAATCCCGGTCTGCATGAGTGGAGTGTGGCCAGGATCTGACAGCAAAGTTTCTATTGGCTGCAGCTATAGTTAAAGATACGTATCAAAAATGGGACAGATTCAACCGCGGAAATTGTTCGTAGGTGAATACTTTAATGGTAAGTTACTCACGGCATTACAGGTCTAAATATATGCTCATCTTATTCACTTACAGCAATGCTCGAAATATAACACGCAGATTTGCATTATAAGACACATTTTTTAAGCTAATTATTTTACTTTTTATTACATACTTACAACTGTCTCGTTTGATTTCTGACGGAAAGAGACGTTTTCTTCTGTAACTGCAAAACAAAACACATTACTGTACTACAGTACTTTCTGATTGAAATATGCATTTCATTGTTGTGTTTCAGTTAGTTCTACAGCCTTATGTGCAACACAAACTAGAACTAATTAAAAGGATGAGTGAAAAGTGCAACAGGATGCTACAATTTCGTTTGTTTCACAGGCTTAGATCTTTGAAGCCAATCGATAATAATTTAAAGTCACAGCCCCAAAGTTTGTGCAAATACGTACCTAATTTCAGACAACATAAATCCGTTGATATTTTTGCTAAGCATTTTCATTCTGTTTGTAATAACCGTTGCCTTGTGGATATTCTTATGCCTTGTCCCTATTTCAGATGCATTATATGCGAAGCCGTTATAAGGCTGAAACATTGTAAATATCTCGGCCTTAACGATATTCCTGGGTTTTTAATAAAGGCTATTCAATTGTTTTTGTTTCTATTAGGCATATATTAACTTTAGCCCGACTCTGCAACATTTCCTTGCTGTATGCAAGCAAACGGCTGTTGTGTCCGTATTTAAAGGGGGAAGTCAAGCTTCTGCAAGCAGCTATACACTCATTTCTGTTTTCCGTATTTTCTCTGAATTGCTTCAATTCTTTATTCACAACTGTGTGTTGCATTACTCTAAACTAAATCCCAACGGAAATTACTTCGCCAAATCTAAATATTTGTCCTAATTATGTGACGCTTCTTGACTTTATTGATTCCTGTTGTCCGCGATCAGCGTCGAGCTGGTGCTGTCTATTTTGATCTTTGAAATGCTTTTGACTTCATGCCCACATAACTTGATCTTGCATAAATTGAGTTCCTTTGGATTCTCTGTTGGTTACGTTAACTAATTGTGCAGTTATTTAACGAACAGACAATCTCGGGTTGGCGTTCCTGATACGCTCTTCTCACCTTTTCAAGTGAGCCGCAAGGCTCTCTTCTGAGGTATTTCCTTTTGAATGTATTTATAAATGACATATGTAACTAAATTAATCATTTTAAATTATCAGTCCTTCCTGATGATCTCAAAGTTTCAGCCCCGTTAACTCCCCACATAATGACTTCTTACTCGAAGCTGGCATTAATTCCGTGAATGACCGGTGCCCTGCTACCTCCATGAGACTTAATATTTGTAGGACGCGTGTTATGTCGTACTCGTGCTGCCATTACACAATCCAGCAGGGTTTGATTCTATATTATATAATCACAACCATGTTTATTTTGTATTTTATGAATGCAGATAGTTATTACGCCTTATTTGCTCCATAACCGTAAGATTTTCTTCCCTGAATTGTTTATATATGCTGTACTTTACGTTAGTCAGGTCGAAGTTTGAATACCCCTCGACAGTTTGGAATTCTGTCAAAGCTGACGGATCTCAACAAATTTGAGTGTATCCAGCATAAATTTACGTCCGTTTCTATCGGTTTATCCCCCCCCCCATGTTCCTTAGTTATATTTTTGCCTTAGAGAAATGAAGTCTACAATCTTTACTAAACGGAGACATCACCTTGATGCAATTTTTTTTATTCGGGTCTGTCGCCGTCCTAAATCCTGCGCTTCTCTTTTGGAAAACGTTAGCCTTCGCGTTCCTACCCGAAATGTTAGGGGCTTCTCATTGTTTGGTGTTTGTCCCTCTAATAAACACTGTCCTTCTGCTCAGTGCGCCTGCGCTGCCAACGCGGTGGGTAAAGATCTCGACATATTTGAAATCGGAACAGTTTCTGTCAGTCATACTTTATAATCTCCTGCCTAAAATTATTAATAATATTTAAGACTCTTGATGTTAATATTCTTGTGTTATGTAGTTCGTAGTTATTACGTTCTTTGTGTACGTCACTACTTCTTTGTTTTGTTTGTTTACTTCTTCTGTATTATCTGCCTGTAATTTTCCCTTACCTGCTGTCAAGCACTTAGGTAGATTGACATAATTATTATCATTATGTCCATATTAGGCATTATTATTATATTTATTTTATCCTTTGTAAATGCATAAATTTTGCTTTCTCGCTTGTAAATTATAACCTTTTTTGCTGTCATTATGACTTTTAAATTATAACTTTGTTTCTTTATTATTATTTTGTTATCATTATTCGGATGTTACAAATTTCCTTGTTTTGTACTTTGTGTGTGTTTATATTCTTTCGGCCATACTCACTTCGTGTCGAGCTGTCAAGCTGGCAACAGAAAAAATACGATTTCAATTGAATTGAGATTCGAAAATATCTGCAAGTACGTGCAAATAGTATACTAAGGCCACGGGAATATGTCCCTTGGATGATGCAGTTAATGGGAATCAAGATATTCATTTTTTTCGCCATACATCCCCAACTGGGCATATGCCAAGTACCAAGGTCATTAGTACCAACATCCGTACAGGCTAGGTGACTGGACTAGAACGTGGGGAATTTCGCTGGAGAGGAAAGGTAACAGCTCTAAGGGCGGCCGCACACCAAGTGCGTCAAGACAAGCATCAAGACATGAGACAAAAGACGCGGTCTTGCTTAATTCATGATTCGTCAGCATGAAGCTGATGTCAGGATCATGACTCAGACGGTTTTTTCGTTTCAACTGTGCTCCTTTCTTTTCATCATGTCGCAGACATCGTGTCTTGACTGTTACATGCCTTGAATCATGCCGGTGTGCGGCCTGCCTAAGGAGATATGGAGGGAGTCGAACCATGAGAGCTCTTTCCGCGACCTCGATATGAGGGTTTTCAGAGAAAACGGTAAATAACGCTGTATGGGAAATCTTAGGTACACAGCGAAATTAATGCTCATTTCTGTGGTTTAGTTTTTTCATCACATCAGTGAAACTGTGCTGTAGGGATCTAGTCTACATTTATTTTGAGAAGTTAGATAATTACCTCTAACTCCAAATTTAAAACCGACTTCATCCCTGCACTCCGTCCTGTATTTTTCAGTTTCTTGATTTCGGGAGCTGTTTGGCAAATTGCAACATGACTGAAACAGTTTAAGGGAAGGAAGTATTGTAGTTAGTATAAAGTAGGCATATGCTGCACAATATATAAGCAATATACACGTATATGCTTCCTTGATTATTGATTTATGGGCCATACGGTCTGGTATATAACTCATTTTATCGGAGGGACTTGTTGCCTTAAAATATTAGGGCAGCAGAATGACCCACGAGTGAAATCGGGGGTGTACAAGTAGATGTAAGTGGTTGTGTTTGCGGGGGGTTGTTCCAAGACTCTTGCAGTGTCACGGAATGTATAGCGCCAAGTTGTTGAATGCTGAATGATAAATCGGAAAGCAGAGGATCGGTCTTGGTATAAATGGCGTTCTGTCACGGCATTCGCCTCAAAAGTTGAGGCGAGACCACGAAGAACCTCATTTTCCCCTAAAATACACAGATTGTCAGACACAGAGGCGTCGTTTGTCGATGAATTTATGATGACGGGATAAATGATAACAATAATTGCAAGATCGTTAGTATTCAGTGTTCATTTCATTAAATATATTATCTCCTTTGTGACATTAGAAGTTCATTGCCACAAGCCTCAGCACGCAGAATTCGCTTGATATTTATGCTTAATACAAATTATGAACATACTCACATCTGCAGTATCTCGAAGTTGGACGTCAACATCTCTAGTTAATCTGGACAGTAGCGCCTTCTCACTTCCTGTGTTGACCACGTCGTCGAGTTTGAAACCGTCTGGAAGAGGTGAGACATCATTAACGAATTTCTGCTAACGTATACAGTAAGACATTGCTTGAAGTTCTTTGCGAATTTTCTGGAAGGTTTCTTTATATTGTGGCATGACGCTCGAAAGCCGGAATAGTGAAACAGAATAGATGTTCATTGCTAGGAAACGACTCATTAAATATATTCACGCGGCAACGAATACTCAAGCAACAATCGAGTAACTTCCGTTACTATGCAATGGCACTGTAAACATTCCTTCCCAACAATAGAGACCCTGTGTTTTCTGTGTGGTCCCTGCAGAGTTTTTATACAGAAAATTAACTTAAAGTCCATGTATTTATCATCCGTCGATATTGCAACACTAGTTTATTTGCTACTTAATTTTAATTTTAGTGTAACACTATACACTTTCACACTACATGTTTCGGTCCCAAATGACCATCTTCAGGTGTCTTGATATTGTAACGTATTTGGTTGTCACGCCACAAATAAGTACTACACTGTCTTAGTCCTTGTTAGCAGTGCAGCAGTTTCAACGCAATGTAATAAAATATATGTAACATATCAAGACGCCTGAAGATGGCCGTCTGAGGCCATCAAAAGTGTCAAAGTGTATAGTGTTAAACTAATATTAAAATTAAATAGTAAATAAATGTTGCAATATTGACGGATGTTAATACATGGACGTTAAGTTAAACAATTGCAACAGGATGCTGAAATACAGAATTACAGAAAATTAAGTTGAGAAGAATTGTGTCGGGTTTTGAGACTACAGCCTGCCAGGATAGGAGCTTGGGTGCAGAGGAATTGAACTGAGTTGGCAATTGCAGAAAAATAGCAAGACAAATTTAGACTGTGAAAAGAAAGCTTCATGTGTGATTTGAAGTGACAGTGACACTGTTATGAATGCGTTGCCAGGATACGACTAGTGAAGACTGAGAAACCTAGTGCTTGTGTAACGGTGAACTGTGAAGTATGTAGATCAGAGATGGCTCTGTAATTACCTGTGGTTCCGAGTGTTGTGTATAAGGTATCAATTAATACAAACATCCAAACAAAAACCCCATCTATAGTCTATATAAAAATAAAATTCAAGAAGTATCAGATATTCTAGCGCTTAAAGTAATTTATTTTATCATATGATTCGTTTGGTCCATGTGATTCGTGCGATAAATATTTTGAAATGGATCTGGAGTGGGTTAACATTTGGATTTTGTTGATTGTGGCCTACTTGTAGATACTGTCTCTGCATTCATGTGTGATAATTATAACGAACATTTGTAATGTGAGAGCCGGTAACCGGAACGAGAATTGTATCAGCTGCTTCCCTGGCACGTATCTGGGACTTTCATTCATTCATCAGTGGTTCTACAGCCGTTTGTTGGGCCCTGGCCTCCTCTTTAATCCCGTAATCGTTTTACACAGACGGTAGGACTCCTTGGACGAGTTTTCAGCCCGTCGTAAGGCCGCTACCTACACAGGACTACACAAACCCAGAATAAAGGAACAGACATCCATGCCTTGAGTGGGATTGGAAACAACGATAGCAGCGTTCGAGCGAGCGAAGACAGAACTAGCGTCAGAGTTCGCTGCCACTGTGACCGGCATCAAGAGCTTTACCCTGTGAAATTTCTCGGTACGAACATTATTAATTGATCTCTTTTTTGAGATGGTATGTTCTCATATTGACGAAGATTCATGTTATGGCCTATCGGATGATTCGTTGTATTAAGTGCTTACGGAAGAACAGATTTCCTTGATAAATTTAAGAATCAAGACGGACCCAGCATATTGTTTATACGTATTTGGAACTCTTTAGGAGACTTTACATTATCATAACTGAAATGACCACTGTTAAAAGTAAAAAAGTAAAGCTATCCCTGTAACAGGCCGTGAAGGCCCATAGGGTTGTGAGACGTTGAGGGTCCCACATTATCTAGACAATCGGCTTAAAGATGGCGGTAAGGTTGTCGGCCTTACGTGCCGGCCGCGCTTTGCTCCCCAGGAAAATTATTTAATTAATTCCTGGTACTCATGTATGAATACATTATCTATGGAAACTGATGTACTGTACTGTATTGTAATACGAACTGAACTTACCTGGGCTGTAGTTGGGCTGGAAGCCTGTTACCGCCACAGAGCTGGAGACCAAAATTACCAATAGCTTTGAGCAGTCCATGTTGACTCTATGCATCTACACATACTTGAAGACTGTTCTTTTATATCTGTGGAAACATAATGCAGTTAGCGACGTTGTACAGCTGTCGGATGTTCATTTCATGCGATGTCCAATAGAAATCTGTGGACATTAACGCGCATTCAGTTTTACAACTAGATTTTTCCCGGAAACAACATTACAATAATGCAGGGTCTATACATGTCTCCCACTTATAAATTATCTTTTCTCCTCATGTGTGTGTTACATGTGTCAGATTCTGACCCATAATTTCTCTCCGCAATTCAGAATATGAGTGATGCCATTCTGACAAATTTTCAGCTTCCTCTACTCTCTATGTTGTCCTTTGGGTTTAGATAACATGTGCCCAGGTTCGAGACTTTGGAATGACATCTGCCTCCATCTTCCCCTCCTCCCCGATATTCCAAAGAAGAGCTGGGACTTATCTGGCACACTGCACACTGTCACAACACAGGAGACCACGTTGTAACTTTTACTGCTTCTCCCATTGAACTTCCGTCTCAGGCGCGACTACATGCATTCCTACAGCCCAACAGTTGGTGTTGGTAGTTCTTGTAGCAGACCACTCGGGAGAGCCAGGGTATTTTGTTTCTGGTTGGTTATTTAACGACGAAAATGCATAGCGTCAGATAATGGGATGAATGAATGTTGGTGGAATAAGAATTGAAAAGGTAAACATATCATGAAATCTGTCATGAAACTTGTGTTGGTGCTTTGAGGGAAAGTGTTAATTAATTATTTAATTAATAAATAATTGTTTTATAACATGATATCTAAAACAATAAATAAAAAGGTCACATTTATACCGCCTGACTCAAATTTAAATACATATTCTAAACTCCTCCGTCTTAATGCATATACCGTACTTTACATGATCATTTGGAATTACCTTTAGAGACAGACTGTGTTTATGAACTCTGTAATATACAAACAAAAAATGTTTACACATGTTTAAAAATAATTAAGCCCATCAGAGTGGCCGCGCGGTCTATGGCATGAACTGTCTTCTCCCGCTCGAACACTGGGATGGTGGGTTCGAATCCCACTCAAGGCATGGATGTCTGTATGTATTTATTCTGTGTTTGTGTGGTCCCCTTAGGTAGCGACCTTGCGACGGGCTGATCCCCCGTCCAAGGAGTCCTACCAATTTTGTACAGGATTAAGAATCCGAAAATGAGGCCAAGGCCCAAGGAAGAGTCTGTAGTGCCATAGATAGATAACAATATCCAAGTTACTATGCAAACATGTAAAAACTGCTGAGGGTTATACTTCATAATACAGGGGGTCGCGACTCGCGTGTTGATAACCACTGTTCGGAACCTAACTGAACTCCAAATTTAGCATGAATGTCACGATTTATTACTTGCAAAAAGAAGCGACGGAAGCAGGCAATTGGCGCTGTCACTGGGTTGTCAGTTCTCATTTTTAATAAATGTGACAACTTGTATTCTTTTCGTCCCATTCTATATGCAGTAACAATTGGGATGGTTTGAAAGCGGGCTTATGTCACCTGTTTTCTTACCGGTATGACAATGCACGCCACTTCTGATATGTGATAGTACAAAAGCAATTCGTTACTGCCATGTGACCCCTTGAAGCACGAAGTTCACTTAAGTAATATTTAGAGATTCAGTCCCTACATCATGCAAAACACTGCGTCTCTATTACGGAAACCAGCCAGATAATGCTGGTAGGGTAATAATTTTTTTTCTTGGCAATACAGCCCCAGTGGGCCTAGGCCTACCTCCATGAACTTCTCCGAGGTTAATAATTACTTTAATTTAGTCTGAAAGTCATGCGAAGCGCATAAATAGATTTCGTGAGTCTAAAATTAAATTATTGATTGCTACAGCAGGTAACATACTCGTACATAGAAGACACTGCGCTACAAAGGATCAGTGTCTGACATTAATATTACAAATATAACGTAAGGGATATTTTAATGACTTAAATAATTCCGGTAACTAATAATGCCATATGAATTCTGTATTAGCAGCTTTGCTGGCTTCTCACCGCGGCGGCCCGGGTTCGATCCCGGGTCTGGTCAAGTGGGATATGTGGTGGACAAAGTGGCGCTGGGGCAGGTTTTCTCCGAGTACTTCGGTTTCCCCTGCCAATCTTCATTCCACCAATTGCTCCACAATCACCCTCACCTATCATCTGGGGCTGGTACAATAGGCCAGAAGTGGCCGCAGTACAAGGGACTTAGTTCCACCTCACTAGCAATTAAAACAATTAAAATTATGTTTGCTACACCTGTTAAAAGATCCCGTTAAGATTCGATTGAATTTGAGTTTCTCACTGGCTTGACTATAAAGAGTTCTGTGTTCTGGGATATAAATCCGTGTGATGTGGTGAAAGCCGGCAGTTTCGGAGAAACTGTCGCCTCCATCTTCAGTGCTGAAGAGTAAGCCAAGCAAACAACCAGCACGAAGCAGACAGTAAGCACGGTTTTGTTTGGGTTACTTTTGACCCTCAATATGGAGGCGATATATTCGTCTGAACGACTTTTCAACTTTGTCGGGATACACGGTGTTATATTCCAGGGAACAGAACTATGTGAAATTCAACAATGTGTGTGTAAATTATTTTTATTACTGTGTGATTATCATTTCTTTCAGGATACAAAAATTGCACTGGATAATTATTCTGATGGTTGTGTAGTCCAGTTAAGCACCAATATACTCGTAGATTATTGCTAGATGTAAAAGAATTACCATGGTGCACATAATGGTCCGAAAATATCTGAACATTATTCTGTGTACAAAAGTGGAATTCTCTTTCGGTTCTTATAAAGCTCCTGCTCAGACATCCTCGAAATTTAAAATATTTTTACATTAGATTTTCTTAAATTTACCACTCACAATAGCCGCGCTGTCTAAGGCATGAACTATTTTCGCTCTCTCGGATGCTGGGATCGTGGGTTCGAATCCAACTTAAGTTATGGATGTTTGGTGTGTGTACGCGTTTATTCTGTGTTAGTGTTGTCCTGTGTTTTGATAATGGCCTTGCGACGAGCTGATCACTCGCCCAGGGAGTCCTACAGTCTGTGAAAAATGATTACGGAACTGAATAACAGACCAGGGCCCTGAATGGGCTGGAAGAGCCACTGAAAAAAAAATGTTAAAGTATCCGTGGATGACCTTCGAGGTTAGATACATAGGATACAGATACATATGTATCTGTGTATTAATGTACCTATGACATCGAAACATCTGAACTCGCAGTTATAAACAGAAATGATTTTAGGCACATAAATTCATATATTTAAATATTGTTTAATTAACATGATTAAGAAATGTCGATACAGGCATTAAGATTACGTGATTATTTTCATATCAGTCACATCGCCTTTATCCGTCTAAAGACACCATATGCAGACTCCGCAAGAGTTCCCCGCAGACCGAAATCGAGAGTTAGTTGACACCCTGCAGAGGACTACGATGGCTCACTCGAAAGCTAACCAGATTCTGATATCGGGAAGGAATAAAATTTTGAGATCAGATTTGCGAAAGTAGCGAAATTCCATTGTCATCATTTTGTCGTATTGCATAAAAGGCCGTGTGTGCACAGTGGTACTTCGGCATTAGGAGATTTTGGGGGACATATGCAGTACCCGCGTTATATGTGAAATTTATATTAATGTATGTAATCGTACTGGGGGGGGGGGTGAACGTAACCACCGCGACTGCCTATCCGAATCTGCGGTATAAGAGGCCCGGTATATCCATTGTCCTCTTCAGCGTGTCTCGAACGAGTTCGCAGTCATTTCTGTCAACGTTTGTTTCAGATTTTTGAACGTTAACAACAGCGTAGTTAATATTTATAACGCAATTTTAACTAAATAATAAATATTAATTTTTTTCTTTTCAAGATAGACAACCACAAGATGTTCATTTAGAGCAGTCCAATGACATGTTCGAGAGCAATAACCAGACACCAATAAGTTATTCCAAATGGACACTTGGTGTATACATACTGTGATGTTAATTAAATTTATATTGCTATCNGCAACAGCTGCTGCAGGTGGAAGCCAGGTGAAGGAACAGGAAGGTAAAGGGGGACGGCGACAACAAGAAGGTGAGCAGTTAAAGAAGAGAGTCAGTGACGCCCAACGNCCCGGTATATCCATTGTCCTCTTCAGCGTGTCTCGAACGAGTTCGCAGTCATTTCTGTCAACGTTTGTTTCAGATTTTTGAACGTTAACAACAGCGTAGTTAATATTTATAACGCAATTTTAACTAAATAATAAATATTAATTTTTTTCTTTTCAAGATAGACAACCACAAGATGTTCATTTAGAGCAGTCCAATGACATGTTCGAGAGCAATAACCAGACACCAATAAGTTATTCCAAATGGACACTTGGTGTATACATACTGTGATGTTAATTAAATTTATATTGCTATCATTCACATCTCCAAAGCCCAAAGATGATGTCACGATTTTATGGAGTGATTTTGATTGGTAACTGGATTTATTGAACACTTCTACACACAACTCGGAAGTACGGAATTGGCCAACCGACCTGAGGGAGGGTTAACGAGGACTTATCTCTGGATAACCCCTCTCCAGGTCACGAAGAACACTAGAGCAAATTAGCTTATAGAATCAAATGTAATTTTGATTGCTAATTTTATGTAAATAATAAAAACTCGAAACTACAAGTAACTATAGCGATGTACTTAATTGAAACTCTGCAGTTCACTACAGCACACACTTGAGTCTTCTCAACTTGCTGTGTCTTCATCGGTTTTCTGGTAGCGGCTTCCAACTGCGGATGTCCCCCTTCCTCTGGTTTCCCGAACTATCCCCGTGCCTCAGCTACCAGCTTCTAAGAGCAACAGCTCACAAGGACTGAAGCGCAGTAGTCTCCTAAGGAACTGATCCACTCACTCACTCACTCACTCACTCAGTCACTCACTCACCAACCAACTCATTCCACTCACTCAAGTCAAAGTCATGTTACAACTGACGGTCAGTCAGTCTTGTTTTTCCATTCCACACACTTTTCCTCTCACTAACTCTCTTGTCCTGCTTATAAAACCTTGGCACGGACCGCACAGAAAACACCGTTCCTCTGCTGCTGTATCCATTGTTGTGTGCATAGACATCGGCGCGGAACGCGCAGGGTACAATTACTTTATTTGTTTACTGGTCGTTGCTTAATAACGGGTCTGCATGCCATGATATATTTGAGTAGGATCAAAATCTATCCATATATGCTCTTTGTTAATTTCCAGCGTGTCTCCGCCCACAAATAATAGATTGTTTGTGGTTATGCCGTTAGTCATTTCTGTCGTACTAGGAAATAAACAAGAACATGTAACTGCAAACTGTGCTGGATCATTTATTTATCCATTTTCGCAGTTAAAATGACTGGGGCTACTTCTTGGGCCATAAACTGATCTGTTAATGCAATATGCAGCTTTAGTTACAGACGCATCCTCTCCAAATATTTCCTTCATTCCTGATGAAGGACTCATGTTTTCCTGGCATTGCAACGGTGTTACTGCCTGCATCTGTACCCACAGGTTACGTCTCCTTTTGTTATTCCAAGCCTATAGACATTACTCTGTCAGTACATTTCCTTTCATGACCGTGCCATAGCCCAGGGGGCTGCCCGGGTTCGAGCCCAGGTCAATTCATATGGGGTTTGTAGCTGACAAAGTGGCACTGGGGCAGGTTTTCTCCGAGT